TCCAGAAGCGACAGAGGAAGTACAAAAAAACTCAGGTGAGATAAACGACCTGCTGTCGGTAAATTTATCTTTTGAGAAAAAAGGGTCATTATATAAACTTTTTTGGTGTGTCTGCTCTTTCCTCTAATTCAGCAAAGAGAGATGGAGCCAATGTAAAGCAGAGAGAGTGTGAAGAGTCGACGCATACGCGTACCTGACAGGCAGGATCATTGCTGTCATCGTGGTGGTAGCGATTGCTGTGATTGCTGTGGCGAGTGTATTTGCATGTCAAAAGTGTCGTTTAAAGAACAAATGTTAAAATAAAAAGCCATAATTTACAACTGTTTACTGACCAGAGCAGACGCTTTACTCCTTCTGTGGATGGGCAGAACCTGATGATAGAGAAGACCATCATTTACTACGTGGATGAGGAGCCCCCGACTGTTAGTGCATCTCTTCCTTCTTGTCCAATTTTTTTTTAATTTTTAAAGGAAATTTTAAAAATGCTTTTTTAAAGTAATCCTAATGTAACAATCTAACAATCTAAATGTTAAGACTGTCTCCAGGGCATGCAACACTATTGTCTGTGTCTCAGGAGAAGGTTGTGGATGGACAGTCAGTTACATCAATATGGACACGCCTGGTGTAAATCATGTTAATCTTCCTTGAGGGAGACCTTGTTACAAACCTGCATTGTATGTGTTTGTTTTGTGCGCTCAACGCATCTGGTTATGTTAATTCAGCTTTGCCGGGTCCCTGCTGCGATTGGTGCGTGGATATACAGCTCCAGAGTGACTGGTTCCAGCTGGAGGCTCCGCCCATCAAATGAAGGATGGAGCTCTGTGGTGAGAGAGGTTCTCGCGTTCAAGCAGTACGCCTGTGACAGCCACTTCAGTGACATTGTGACAGTTGAGGAAGTGGAGTGGGTAGGAGTGAGCTGCCGTTTCTTTTGATCACCTGTTTTCTCCTGTTTTGAGTAAGTTAAGGAGGTCAGAGTCTGCCTTCGTTTTTGGCACGTTTTGGAAGGTTAGGTGTGTGGGAATCAGTTTAGATTCATTTTGTTTATTATTTTGGCCTTAGCTCACCCCGACGTGTTGACACTCCTGTTTTGTTGTATCTGTTTTATCACTTTGTAAATAAATCACCTTTTAACAAACTGATTTGTTTCCTGTCACTGCTTCGGTCTTGTGGGGCGAGCGAGTCCTTCACTCATGTTATTGCCTGGCCCCTAGATGGGTCGTAACAACCTGCTTTAGCAAATGACAAATAAGAAGTCCATTGCCATGAACACTCTTAGTCTTGTTAAAACTTTATGTAGTTTATGTATAGTTTTTTTATTCACATGTTTCTATATTATATCTTATTTTTTCAGCTGCAAAAAAAGGAAAAAAGATCAAAATAAGTGTTTTTACTTCAGAAAATTATTATTTTTTGATAGGCACAGTGAAGACTGACAGGAAAGTGGAGGATGGAGAGAGGGGAAGACCGCCTGGGTTCCTCCACAGTCGGCAGATCTCTGTCCAATGATGCTTTCATGTCAACGTGTGCCAAAATCTCTGAGGAATGTCCAAAATATGTTTATGAATTTAATTCATGCTAAAAGCAGGTTTTGTAAAAGGTTTTAGAGCCATGCTTCTCACCCCTCCTGGTATTTAATAATGTTAACATATTCTAACTGTAGCTTTAGCTGGTTTGTATTACTAATGTACACTGATGACAGTAACAAGGCTCTTTGTGGGATTTTTTTTTTTTTAAAGATATAATTGAATTTTCTGGATTTGGGTTGAATTTGCCACGAAGATCAGTTCACAACAAAGTGACAGTGTTTTGAAATGTGTGCCAGTCAGTTCAAGCACCAGTCACATGGTGGCGCCATCTCTCAGCCATTCTGTTCACGTCACAGAATGACATAGTAATAAATCCTTGGATGATAAAACAGCCACAGATACTGCGCAGGTTTATTAGCTCTGTCCACTGGTGAGAAAACTGGGACAATCTTATGGCTTGTTATAAAGATTAAGGTGTCTGATCCCTTTTGACTGCACAATTGGTTACCCTGGTTACATATAGCAGTGATAGACTTTGCACAGCAACAAGCAACAGTTACAAGCTCAGCATCTATGCTGCATGCTTGTTCAGGCAGACGCTGAAAAAGCCAAATTTAGCTGTTGGCTAATTGGCATCCAGACTGGATGCATTAAATAGCCTGTATGGCTTCACACAGAGTTCCAAACTTGTCCTACAAGCTTCCTTAAAGTAAGCTAGGAGGCTACGTTTTTAAGTATGAGTAGTTATTTTTATATAACTTACAAAAAGAAGCTCAAGTGGCTTTATTGTCATTTCAACCACTGAGACCATGGTGCTACATGTAACAGTAAATCAGCACAGGACTGCATAAAGTGCAAGTATGCAAAAAAAAAACAAAAAACTGTGCAACAGAACGATGCATACACTAGTCGGTGCAATAGAAACGTGCAACAATGACAGTGGGTTGTGCAAAAAGTAGCTGAGGTAATGAAATGAATGTACAAAGGTATGTGTGAATCTGTGATTTCGGGTATGTTTATGGTTTGTGTTCATGTGTGTTCCCACTAGAAAATAAAATTAACCATTCTCTCTCAGGCCCTCCAAATTATGGAGGCCTTTCTGCCCTCACCACACTCCCTGCCAGTGGCTGATGCCCTCAGGCGTCGGTGTGTTGGTGGTTCTTGGTGTCCGGGGATGGGCGCTCAGGTATGTACCGGCTCACCGTAAAACATGGGCCCGGGCACCGTGACTCGGTTGGGGGGCCCTCTGGGCCTGCGGCTCGGTTCACTCTGGCACAGCTGGCTGCCGGCAGAGCCCATGGGCACGCCACTGCAGCCCCCTCTGGCTTCTGCTCTGTAGCTGCTTGGTGACCCCTTGTCAGGGGCTCTCCTTTGCTCTTCCCAGAAGGGTGGCACGGATGCCCCTCTGGTGGTCCTCCTTGGGCTCTCACACTCTGGGGCCTCTGGATGTCTGGGGCCTGGATGTACTCCATGCATGCTTCATGCCCTGGGGGACGGGGCTATGGCCCCCCACACCGGCTAGCAGATCGTTACATGGAGAAACCTTTTGAATACAAGCGCGCTCATCCACACAGGTGTGCACTGTTCATAGACACAAACCATACCTTTCTTGGCTGCTACCTCAAAGCACATTGTGCGCTGTTGGTCCTACGTGCTGCACAACAACATTCAATATTTAGTATTTACTGTTTTTTACACATAGCTAGATTAATGTGATGGTGTTGGGTTTATTATGCTGCTCTCTTTTTTGTTTTCTCTTTTTTTTTCTCTCAACAGTTGATCCGGGAGATTTTTTTAAGTGTCTTTTCTCACTGTCCCTCTTCCCCTCTGTTTTTCTTTTCCTTCATCTTTCTTTTTTACCTTTCTTATCCCCCAGCCATGTCTGTCCCGTCTGTAACAACTGAAAATAAAAATAAAATAAAATAAATAATAATAACAAAAAAGGTCGATCAAATGGACCAATATGGCAAAGCCGTGATGATCCATTTGTAAAACCGTTGGGTATCTTTGTTGACCTTCAGACAACAATTCTGACGGCTAAAGAACCAAACGGGACAGATGGAAAAAACAACAACAACAAAAAAACATTCTCTCTCTTATTTTTAAAGGAAGTGTGCATGCATCAACTGCTTGTTAATGCAAATATCTAATCAGCCAATCACATGGCAGGAACTCAGTGCAGTATGTAGACATGGTCAAGACAAGCTGTCATGTTATGTTTTAGACTTCATCTGGGTGATATTATATTCTAAGTTGAGTTATACTCCGAGTGGTTTACGTTTGTTTTCTTGTACAGTGTCCTTGGGTGTTTTGAAAGGCGCTTTTAGATCAAATGTATTATTGTTATTAATATTATTATTTTTAAATTTGATACAAACTTTATTCTGCTGAAAAGAAATGCATAGTTCAGTTTGACCTAGATTTAATGGACATTTTCAGAAAAACAACAACAACTTTAATTTAAGGCATAGATATATATTTCTATAAGATGTAGTTTTGCTTGTTTTGTTTGATCAAATATTGTAATTAGCCGCCAGAGTTGAACCAAAAAGCTGTGCTAACTAGTTTTGTTGGCGAGTGGGGGTTGGGAAGGTTTGTTCCACTGTGTTGGGACTCACAGCCAAAAGATTCACCCTTATATAATATTGCATCTTTTAAAAATAAAAAATTATGCTTCATGAAGTCACAGTACAGTAATTTTATTACGTATTTGAGTTCCCGTTAATAACCTGCTAGTGTTGTGGTGTTTTTTTTTCTCTTTCTCTTTAGTTCCAACAACATGTGCCACTATGAAGTGGGCTATTTGCGACGGACCCCCATGTTCATGTACTCTTCTGGTTGGTAATGGTACAAAACAGCCCATAGACTGCACAGCATGTAAGTTTAAAAGTGATAAAGGGGCTCCTTCCTGTTTCATGTCCTCTGTTTGACACTCCAGCCTGCTCATGGTGTGCATTTTGTTCCCCCATCAGTGGTCCCCAAGTAGGGCTAGGCCATATTATACCGTTCACGGTAATACCGGTACAATGTTAACGATAAAAAAATGAAATATCGCGATAGAATATGGGTAAAACGCGCATGCGCAGTGCCGAAATAGCACAGCGGCAACGGAGAACGAGAAGGGGGAAAGCGGATTGTTGAGTGAAACGGATGAACCAGAATTGATTTGTAAACATGGTGCAACTTAACTGATTTGGTGTTTGTCCATCAGATACACAACAAAGCACATTTTTTGTAGAACATGCAAGCGGGCCGTCGTTATTGCCGTATTTGTAGGACTAAGGCGCTCGTAAATCTGGGGATAATCTGGGTCCTAAACTCCGTCCTTTAAGGTCCCAAAGTCAAACAAACACTGCGGCATCACTGAGAGTTAAAAACTGTCTAAATTCTTCCATCTTTAATAAAACAATCAGCATTGGTGCTTTACCAGGTGTAACTATGATGTTTAACATCCAGGCATCCATGAAAACAGAATTCATTACATTTAACGGAGTTAGAAGTTAGCGGAAGTTAGCTCGCTAGTTTCGCTAGTTACCTAAGCATGTTCTGACTGAGAGATTACTGAAAAAATTCAAACGTACAGCTCTGCTATCACTTCCAACATAAATGAAGACAGGAAACTAAACAGCAGTGACGTTTGTAGGGTTACTGAAGTTGGGCTAGGTGCAGTGGCGGTCCTAGCCTGTTTGGCGCCCTGGGCGAACACTCCCTCTGGCGCCCCACACATAAAACATATTATGGATTGTACATTAACATAAAACTGTTGTCGGAACCATACTGAATTTCACCAGAGAAACACACACACACATATGAAGAGAGAGAGAGAGAGTATGCATACTATGCAAACGGCTACCAAACAGCCATCATAATTCGTCATACAATGAGAACAGGACAAATCAAGAATTGACAATGACTAATTAATATTGTGCTGAACACAGGAGGTCTGTCAGCGGCTGGGTATCAGGAAGACCCGGACGACGCCACTGCACCCCCAAAGCGATGGGTTGGTGGAACGCTTCAACCGCACCCTGGCCACCCACCTTGCTATCCTGACCTCCCACCAGCAGCGTGACTGGGATCAACAACTTCCCCTGGTCCTAATGGCCTACCGTTCTGCAGTCCAGGAATCTACTAAGTGCACTCCAGCGGCCTTGATGTTCGGTCATGAGCTTCGTACCCCAGTGGACTTGGTGTTTGGATCTCCCCCCCCGAGCAGGAAGTGTGGACTACCTCCACAACCTCCTCGCCCGGCTCCGAGAGGTGCATCAGTTGACCAGGCAGGCTCTCCGAGATGCAGGCTCCCGGCAGAAGCGAGCTTATGATACCCGCTGCAAGGGGGAAGGACTTTCGCCCGGTCAGCATGTGTGGGTCTACAGCCCGGAGAGGAAGAAAAGGCTTTCTCCCAAACTG